GGGGTCAAATGATGGTTGTGCTCCGATAGACATACCAGATAATCTATTATTAGAGCCATCTGATGACCCAATTGTAAAAATTGTTGGAAGCACGTATCCGATGTTCAAGAATGAACCGATGATCCAAGGTACTTGAAAGACATGGCTATACTTGCGCCGACACTGGAGATCGTAGAATCTATAAATGCATACATGTAGTTGTTGAATTTGACTGAAAGACGCACGTATTTAAGCTCTGACAGTACGTGTAAATCCGACTCCAATACCGACTTTCTGGCACAACTCCATACTTCCGAGTTCTTGAATACTATCAAGTATTCTGGAACACCGAATCATGAGCTGAATTTGAAGGTAGGAACTCCAGTGATGTTGTTGCGGAATATGGATCACTCAATGGGACTCTGCAATGGTACACGATTGGTTTTGACCAAACTCTCCAATCATGTTCTTGAGTGTAAAATTCTTACTGGCGATCATGCAGGTGATAAAGTTTTGATACCTCGGATGACCATAATTCTTTCTAATGTTAGAGTGTCATTCAAATTCCAAAGAAGGCAGTTCCCCATTATGGTTTCTTACGCAATAACTATAAACAAGAGTCAAGGTCAATCCTTATCGCATGTTGACTTATTCTTGAAGAAGCCAGTTTTGAGTCATGGTCAGTTATATGTCGCTGTCTCCCGTGTTACTAACAGAAATGGTTTGAAAATTTTAATCTGTGGAGAAGAAGGTTTGAAAGAAAATCAAACCAAGAATGTTGTGTATAAAGAAGTGTTTAATAATATATGATTTTTTTAAACTTTGTATTTCTCTTTTTTTTTTCGTATTATAATCAAATTATTAACAATTAAGGAAAAATGTTTAAAATTAAGTTTAGAAAAAAGAGTTTGAGGAAATAATCCACCGTGCAGCGCACGGGTACTACACTAGTTTGAATTGTATGCACCTGATAAATAGGAAACAAAAATTTTAATTTTTAATGTTAAGGAACATAAATATTTTTTCCCCAATTTAAATTTATTACATATTTAGTAAATTCAAAATTATCTTTGACTACTATATTTAGTAATTATTTATTCTCTTTTTTGTAGTTATAGATTATAGATTTTGATATGTGCACGGGATAAGACCTTCCTACTTAATATTCTTGCTTCCATGCAGAGGGACGAGACAAGCTTAACCCTTGAGAGGTATGAGGTCTCGACTAAAAGGAGATGAAAGAATACGCTCGAGACAAGCTTAACCCTTGAGAGGAACCAAAGCAACAGCAATACTAATATGCATATTATGGGGATGATGAATGAAAAACACTGCAAAGAAACATGAGTTCTAAAAGAAGTAGGCGCTAAATATCGTTTCACCTCTTACCTCATAAGCTCGTCAGTTCGGTGCGTACGTTCTGAGGCAACTCAAAATGCCATTTGTGTTCAACTGCCAGTAAGAATGTTATTTGTTCGAGAATGCAGCTTTGGTTCATCCAAGCTGAATGTTATCGACCATTCTTTTCCTCATCAACAACAGCCAAACAATCTCTTTTTTCATAGTTGCAGAAGTAGATACTGAAAAACATGGCAATACATTCATTTGCCGCTATATGATTAACCTGAACATCATCAGTACTTAATCAGTCAACACTGTAAATCTACAAAACAATCTCATAGCACTTTTAGCAGATGTAAAACCCTAGCGAGTAGCTTAAATATTCAAAGTAAAGCGGGCCAAGAATCCTAAAAAGAACTGACTAGAGTCGAATTCACAACTTTCTATAAAAACAAAAGGGCCCAAATTGCAAAATGTTCCTCTCAGTCCACTGGGCCAGTTGAGGCCCTAAACTTCCTCTGTATCCACGCCAATCGTCTTTCGCTCTTGAGGGACACAAATGTTTCTCTAGCCGTGGAGCTCTCGAACAAATCCAGGGTGTAAAAGTAGAGAGCCTGATCAACGCCCTGCATCTCATCGAGTAATTTTATGCATTTGCTAATGGAAAAACGGTCCTCGTTCCTCATGATGGCGGCAGCCCGAGCTTTAGAAGCTGCCGCAATTTCCAGCATGGCATCAACAATGGCATCGCCAGTTGCTTTGCGGCTCCTTTTGAGCCGCCCGGGTTGAGGGGTCATGGTCTGGTGTTTGTTGTGACCGTCTAACATGTTAGCCTCGTCTCCCGATCCTC